TAAATCGCAACAGGTAACACAGAGGGGTAGTAAGCTGGACACACACACACACACACACACACACAGCTGGACCTCACTACCTCGTAGACACTGATAGGTAATTGGTGATAGGTAAGTACACACTCCCCCGTCCCCCCCCCCCCGCCATCACAACATCCGGTGACCGCTGCGACAGAGGAAACACACCACAGCACAAACGTCTCTCCACACAGGATACGAGATATGAGATCATCTGAAGACGCTAGAATAGAAAAGAGAGAGAACGAAAGAAAAGAAAGACACAGAGAGATAGAGAGAGAGACAGAGAGAAAGCGAGAGAGAAGAGAGAGGAGAGAGAGAGAGAGGGGGGAGAGAGAGAGAGAGAGGGAGAGGAGAGAGAGAGAGAGAGAGAGAGAGAGGGGAGAGAGAGAGAGAGAGAGAGAGAGAGAGAGAGAGAGAGAGAGAGAGAGAGAGAAGAGAGAGAGAGAGAGAAAGAAGAGTAGAGTCACTGCTTACAAAAATTGAATCATCTCTTAAAAAAATATATTTCCATTTGCTTCAGTGAATCATGCCCGGGTGGGTGTTAGGTGTCAGCTTACATCCCCCACCCCCTTCCCCCCCCTCCCCCGACATCAGCTTAGACCAGTCGACGTCAGCTTAGAGCCGTCGACGTCAGCTCCACCCAGCTGAATCATAACCAGCATCTTGCACTTCACGGCTGCCTATGGCGTCATTCACCAGCTGGACATGCTATATTTGGCGGGAAAAAGAATGTTTACTCACCAGTGGTCACGTTCTTCTGGCTAAATTTGGCGGGAAAAAATTTGTAAACAGGAGACAGCCAATGGGCGGTTTAGGGGTCTAAAACCTGACATAATTATGCTATCCTAAGCTAATCTATCCTAACCTCGCCAAGCCCAACCTATCCAGTCACAACCTATCCAGGCACAACCTTTCCAGACACAACCTAACGAAGATAAAATGTTGTGTTGTATATATATGGGCTGAACGAGGTCTGTGACGTCACTATGACGTCATAATACGTCATACGAGGCAGCTCCTATTTTATATATCCCCTCCCCCCCTCCAAACCCATCCATAAACATGTCTAACCTACGCTAGAAACAATCCAACGATCCCACGTCTGCTATCAACAACAACCCTTGGGGCAACAAAATAATAGGGTGGATTACGAGAACATTGCAAAAAAAAAAAAAAAGGTGGATGAGGTAGCTAGGCTCAGTAAAAGACAATAGGCCTATATGGTGTTCACAACCTCGTTCAAGAACAGTGAAGAATACAACATTCTTGTTGTAGATAATGTAAACTACTGAACTACCTCAAAACGCTCAAAATGTTCTCTCGGAACAAAAAGTAATGTGGAATTGCACCATTTAGTGTGTTGATGGACCATTAAGACAGATTATGTACACAAATACATATGCATATCAATAATATATAGAGGCTCACAACAGTCACTATACAAGGCACTCTACATCTACGGTGAGTCGCACAGTTACTAGTCTTGCTCCACACCCACCCAACTGGGCGGCAGCTTTACAGTCATGTGCAGGCTGCACCTTCAGTAAGCACACTTCAGGTCCTTGGCTAAGATTCCTGGCAGTACATCATTATGAATGAAGTACTTGGACATTTCTTGGACTCTATTGATGGTGTTAGAGAGCTTAGCCTACCTAGTAGCTTAGTCTCCTGGTGTCACAATATCAATATCATGCCCTTATATTACCTTCGTGTGATGACAGGTTTCTACCGTCTTCCCTTTTAAGACATTCCTAATACCTCATACCTCTCTCTCCAGGATCCACTTATACCATACATTCCAGCCACAGAGAACCATAGATCTCACGCCTACGTAGTCATAAATACGAAATAAAATATCTGCAGCATCCAAACTCCCCAGACATCCATCCAGCATCCATACAATATCCGTCCCCAGCATCCACACACACACACACACATCCGTCCCAGCATCCACGTCGGGATGTCCCCCGGTTACCCTGGAGCGGCCAAGCAAACATCAGCTCGACCTTGGAGGAGGAACTAGATCCTTAAGAAGGGCCGGGAGACGGTGGCCAGATGGTCCCCAAAACAGGAAGAGGAAGCATAAGCAATCCAAGATGCAAATGAAGCAACGTGAAGATCATCATCCACAAGACGAATGATGAGAAGGTTGATTCCTCACTTTAAGATGGTTCACGATTTTTGTGTTTTTTTCGTGTGAAAACTCAGTCGAGCGAAGATATTTTATCGATAATTTTTATTCCTGGTTAAAATCTCAAGTTGAAACGTAAGATAATATGTTTACCTTTCAAGTTCTCTGTCTCTCTCTGTCTCTCTCTCTCTCTCTCTCTCTCTCTCTCTCTCTCTCTCTCTCTCTCTCTCTCTCCTCTCTCTCTCTCTCTCTCAAGTTACAACTTCAGATGCAAGTAAGCTGATTATGCCGTGAAAATGACTGTTGTTGATTGAATTTGTTTTAGGTCTTGTTTTTGTCGAGTGTGAAGAAGGTCTTGTGCGTAGGTAAGGTTGGTGCCAGAGACCGGTTGACCTTCCATGCTCTCAGACGGGTCTAGTAAGGTCACTTGGAAGCAGGTTGTTTGTTGCTTTGTATGTTTGTTTGCTCGTCTAAGGTCACTTGAACATGAGTTATTTGTTCTTGTGGTGCCTCGTGTTCATGCGGAACTGTGACCAAAAACATTTTTTTTTTTTGCATTCAAATATGTCCCCGCGACCGGGCCGCGGGGACGCTAAGCCCCGGAAGCACCTCAAGGTATGTCATCTTTGTTTTAAGCAACCTCTTCCGAAACCTTTACATCTTTCCTCCATCATGGGCGGCTGTGTTTACATATATTAAACAGTGTATGAGGAACGAAGCACTATATACGAGGTTGTTTATAACAATAACAACCTCGGGTTGTTATAAAGTTTCCAGGCTCGTAAACTCTGTAATATATGTAATGTATACACAGCCGCCATGAAGGAGGAAAGATGTACAGGTTTCGTCAGGGGTTGGGTATAAACGCCTGATGGACCCTGAGGCTGCTCTGTCCGGACCCTGAGGCTGCTCTGTCCAGTCTTAAATGTTAGTAGTTCGTTATGGAGTCTATGAGGTTTGCTAAGCATGTTGTCCCCCTCATTAAAGCGTCTGCATGTGTGAGTAAATGTGTGAGTGCATGTGTGAGTGCATATGTAAGTGCATGTGTGAGAGCATGTGTGAGTGCATGTGTGTGAGTGCATGCAACAAGGCACGAGTCAGTATGCCCTTTGAGCTACGTATATTATGAGTGGCAATTTTATGAGTTGACATGTCAAGGGTGTATAGTGATGGGGGCATGTTGCAGGAGGGGGGGAGGGAAGAAGATCAACCAGACTAGTGTGGTGTGTAATTGACCTTGAGAGTGTTTACCTGGTTCTTACCTGTCATCTTGAGACAACTTACACATGTGTAAGTCTCTCTCTCTCTCTCTCTCTCTCTCTCTCTCTCTCTCTCTCTCTCTCTCTCTCTCTCTCTCTCTCTCTCTTTCTCTCTCAATACGTACTCGATTAGTACTTGTTTTTACAGGTTTACACCTGTCTAAATCATTGCAATAATATCTGAACTAAAGAGGCGTGTAAACTGTTTAATACCTGATTACCTTAGGTCACTGTGGAAGATGAAAGATGCACAGGTTTCGTAAGTGGAGGCGTCAAGGCTTACAATAAACGATTCCTGGTCCTGGGGGGACGCAAGTTCGAGCTCATTGCACAGCCCCCCCGGACACTGTTAAGGGGGGGGGGGGATTTTGCCGGGTATAGGATCTAATTCTAGTGAGACACTTGAAGGAAAGGTTCTTCAGGCGACCTTGGAGTCACTGGGTCCTGTCTAGCCGTCTGGGTGATGTGGATCGGGAAAGGGGGAGAGGGGGAGAGGGGGGGAGGGGGGGGGAGAGGGGGAGAGGGGGACAGACACGTGGGTGGAAAGAGAGGGGGGGGTTGGGGGTTGGGGGGTTAGGAGGGGGGTGAGTCTATATATTGGTGAAGGGAGTGGATGACTCCCCCTTCCTCTCTTCGTAATGTTTACTGACGCGTTGTGTCTGCAGAATCGAGCTATTAGCTCTTGGACCCCGCCTTTCTAACCAATCTATTTTTTTGCTTAATTATGTCTACTACATATATTTCTCTCTAACACACTCACACACACACATACAGGAAGCAGCCCGTAGCAGCTGTCTAACTCTCAGGTACCTATTTACTGCTAGCAAACAGGGGCATCAGGGTGAAAGGAACTGTGCCCATTGTTTCTCGTCGGCGTCGGAAATCGAACCCGGGTCACTGTATTACGTGTCCAGCGTGCTGTCCACACAGACACCGGCGCCATGGTGTGGAGTGTGTGGCGTGGAGTGTGGCGTGTGTGTGTGTGTGTGTGTGTGTGTGTGTGTGTGTGTGTGTGTGTGTGTGTGTGTGTGTGTGTGTGTGTGTGTGTGTGTGTGTGTGTGTGTGTGTGTGTGTCTGTGTGTGTGTGTGTGTGTGTGTGTGTGTGTGTGTGGTGTGTGTGTGTGTGTGTGTCTGTGTGTGTGTGTGTGTGTGTGGTGTGTGTTGTGTGTGTGTGTGTGTGTCTGTGTGTGTGTGTGTGTGTGTGTGTGTGTGTGTGTGTGTGTGTGTGTGTGTGTGTGTGTGTGTGTGTGTTTTAGCCCTCGCCTAATTATGGCTGCAAGATTGAGCTATAGCTCTTGAACCCCGCCTGTCTAGCCGGCAGAGATCTAGACTTGTGATCGATCTTATCTACTTATGACATTATGAATGGAGTGACGTCTACAGGCTGCTCGTTCATGTGGCGCCGCATACTCACGGACTGGTCTGACGTATGTGTATAATGATCGGAATGCCTTCTTAATAAGAATCGCCATTGTTATCCTGCTGTTCACCGCAGATTGGCTTAACGTTATGTCCACTCCCAGGTCTTTTGGTCTCCTGTACTCATTTCCATCACCTTACACTTGCTGGTGTTGAAGTCTTGTAGCCACCTATAGTGAGGTCAAAGGCTTAGAGTCTTGAGGCACTGTGGGAGGAGGCACTGTGGGAGGGGGCACTGTGGGAGGAGGCACTGTGGGAGGAGGCACTGTGGGAGGAGGCATTGTGGGAGGAGGCACTGTGGGAGGAGGCACTGTGGGAGGAGGCACTGTGGGATGAGGCACTGTGGGAGGAGGCATTGTGGGAGGAGGCACTGTGGGAGGAGGCACTGTGGGAGGAGGCACTGGTGGAGGAGGCACTGTGGGAGGAGGCACTGTGGGAGGAGGCACTGGTGGAGGAGGCACTGGTGGAGGAGGCACTGTGGGAGGAGGCATTGTGGGAGGCTCTGGTGGAGGAGGCATTGTGGGAGGAGGCACTGTTGGAGGAGGCACTGGTGGAGGAGGCACTGTTGGAGTAGGCACTGTTGGAGGAGGCACTGGTGGAGGAGGCACTGGTGGAGGAGGCACTGGTGGAGGAGGCACTGTTGGAGTAGGCACTGGTGGAGGAGGCACTGGTGGAGGAGGCACTGTGGGAGGAGGCACTGTTGGAGGAGGCACTGTTGGAGGAGGCACTGATGGAGGAGGCACTGGTGGAGGAGGCACTGGTGGAGGAGGCACTGTTGGAGGAGGCACTGTTGGAGGAGGCACTGGTGGAGGAGGCACTGTTGGAGGAGGCACTGGTGGAGTAGGCACTGTGGGAGGAGGCACTGTTGGAGGAGGCACTGGTGGAGGAGGCACTGGTGGAGGAGGCACTGGTGGAGGAGGCACTGGTGGAGGAGGCACTGGTGGAGGAGGCACTGTGGGAGGAGGCACTGTTGGAAGGAAAGGGAACTATCAGGGGGGGACACCGCCAAGCCTTTTCGGCAATATAACACTGGGAAGGGGTTAGGATAAGTGTTTGGGATGGGACGGGGGGAAGGGAATGGTGCCCAACCACTTGGACGGTCGGGGGATTGAACGCCGACCTGCATGAAGCGAGACCGTCGCTCTACCGTCCAGTCCAAGTGTGTCGTACTGTGGGAGCTGCTGTGGGAGGAAGCCGTGTGCAGAAAAAATAGTCACTTGAAGCTCCAATCAGATTGGACACCAATCATTCTTCCCTCCCTCGCCACTCACAATCCCACCAAAACTATTCTTTCCCTAATCACTCCCTCCAATCCCCCCTCCACCACCCAATCCCACACCCTCCCAACTCATAACTAGGTTTGATGCCGGATTGGTATATGGAGTATAGACTTCAATGAATTTTTTGTATATTCTGGTCGCCAGTCCCCGGCCACTAGCTAGAGAGGTCCCTGTGACATCTTCCAAGAACAGTAGAACATTGAGAGGCCCCCGTGACATCTTCCAAGAACAGTAGAACATTGAGAGGTCCTTGTGACATCTCCCTAGAACAGTAGAACATTGAGAGGTCCTTGTGACATCTCCCTAGAACAGTAGAACATTGAGAGGTCCTTGTGACATCTCCCTAGAACAGTAGAACATTGAGAGGTCCTTGTGAGATCTTCCAAGATCAGTAGAACATTGAGAGGTCCCTGTGACATCTCCCTAGAACAGTAGAACATTGAGAGGTCCTATGAGATCTCCCTAGAACAGTAGAACATTGAGAGGTCCTATGAGATCTCCCTAGAACAGTAGAACATTGAGAGGTCCTATGAGATCTCCCTAGAACAGTAGAACATTGAGAGGTCCTTGTGACATCTCCCTAGAACAGTAGAACATTGAGAGGTCCTTGTGACATCTCCCTAGAACAGTAGAACATTGAGAGGTCCTTGTGACATCTCCCTAGAACAGTAGAACATTGAGAGGTCCCTGTGACATCTCCCTAGAACAGTAGAACATTGAGAGGTCCTATGAGATCTCCCTAGAACAGTAGAACATATCGTAAAATGGGGGGGGGGGAGTGCCCCCCCTTGGGCCGTCTGGTCGTACAAGGCGCCTCCATGCTTGGCTAACTCTCAAAGTCACCTTAACTGTACTTGTAACAACCACACACTTGCAAGGAACACGCACTCACACACACTTGCAACAAATACACTCAAACACACACTTGCAATAAACACACACTCACACACACTTGCAAAACAGCACTTGTTCGAGAAATGATCGAACGTCATCAGTTGTGAGTCGTGTGTAAAGTGTTTTTCACTCATAAACAGCGGGTTTGGCGGCTGCATTGATGAGCATTTGGCCTTTGTTGATGAGGACGGTCTGGTGTTGATGAGGACGGACTGTGTTGATGAGGACGGTCTGCGTTGATGAGGACGGTCTGTGTTGATGAGGACGGGCTGTGTTGATGAGGACGGACTGTGATGATGAGGACGGTCTGTGTTGATGAGGACGGTCTGTGTTGATGAGAACGGGCTGTGTTGATGAGGACGGTCTGTGTTGATGAGGACGGTCTGTGTTGATGAGGACGGTCTGTGTTGATGAGAACGGGCTGTGTTGATGAGGACGGTCTGTGTTGATGAGGACGGTCTGGTGTTGATGAGGACGGTCTGCGTTGATGAGGACGGTCTGTGTTGATGAGGACGGGCTGTGTTGATGAGGACGGACTGTGATGATGAGGACGGTCTGTGTTGATGAGGACCGGCTGTGTTGATGAGGACGGTCTGCGTTGATGAGGACGGTCTGTGTTGATGAGAACGGCCTGTGTTGATGAGAACGGGCTGTGTTGATGAGAACGGCCTGTGTTGATGAGGACGGTCTGTGTTGATGAGGACGGTCTGCGTTGATGAGGACGGTCTGTGTTGATGAGGACGGTCTGTGTTGATGAGGACGGTCTGTGTTGATGAGAACGGGCTGTGTTGATGAGGACGGTCTGTGTTGATGAGGACCGGCTGTGTTGATGAGGACGGTCTGCGTTGATGAGGACGGTCTGTGTTGATGAGAACGGCCTGTGTTGATGAGAACGGGCTGTGTTGTGAGAACGGCCTGATGAGGACGGGCTGTGTTGAAGGACGGTCTGCGTTGATGAGGACGGTCTGTGTTGATGAGGACGGTCTGCGTTGATGAGGACGGTCTGTGTTGATGACGGAACAGGTGAAAATCATCAACATCAACTCAACCAAAGCCCCGTTCAGCAGAGTACTCCATCAGCAGACGGACGGGAGGACCTCCCAAGCCCACGGGGGCCGCGTTCTGTTATCTCAGGCGCTCTGAACCCACAGTGGCCGCGTTCTGTTATCTCAGGCGCTGCGAAACGACCAATTTGGTAACGGGGGGAGCGACCAACGGTAGATGGGAGGCCACCAACGGGACGCACCTGGCGAAAACTTTATTATCCCACGGGGGAGGCGGGTCTGCTTGCTAAGAGTGGGGAGGGGGGGGTTGTCTGCTTGCTAAGAGTGGAGAGGTTGGTCTGCTTGCTAAGAGTGGAGAGGTTGGTCTGCTTGCTAAGAGTGGAGAGGTTGGTCTGCTTGCTAAGAGTGGAGAGGTTGGTCTGCTTGCTAAGAGTGGAGAGGTTGGTCTGCTTGCTAAGAGTGGAGAGGTTGGTCTGCTTGCTAAGAGTGGAGAGGTTGGTCTGCTTGCTAAGAGTGGAGAGGTTGGTCTGCTTGCTAAGAGTGGAGAGGTTGGTCTGCTTGCTAAGAGTGGGGAAGGCGTGTCTGCTTGCTAGGAGAGCAGGAGAGGGTACCGTCTCTCTGCTTGCTAGGGAGGAGCGTAGATATTGGTTCGAGAGCATGTTTCGCAAGTACAAAAACGCTTCCTGCTTGTTTAACGTGGCTTCTAAAATAGACGGTACTGTACCTCGCGTACCAGCGGTACGCGAGGTACAAGAACCAGGCGGCTGCAGGTCAGGAACGGCAGCTTGCTTGCAACGACCTTGTAGCAATTGGTAAGAAGGCTGGCAGGCATGTTACATATAAATATATATATATATATATATATATATATATATATATATATTATATATATATATATATTATATATATATATATATATATATATATATATATACCACCCGGCAAGGTCACCTCGCTCTCAGCTCTGCAATGATTGACCTTGACTACCCCTAAACTCCACTCCCCTCTTCCCCCATCCCCCCATCCACCCCCTCCTCCTCCTCCTCCCCCCCCCCTCCATCATCACAATCAGACCCCTTCTCTCACCATTCATCTTCCTACAATCATCTTTTATCCCTCTTTTCCCCTCTACAACCAAATCACTATTTTCAGTATTGCTGGCTTGCTCACGCACGCACACACACACACACGCACCCACGCACGCACACACACACACACACCTGACCCTAGAGGCAGAGATTAGCCCAATAACTACGCCACCATAAGCCAAACTGGCCAACGTCCAAAAAGCCACAGTTACCGCCCCGCTCCTGTGCCAGGTAAATCTACTCCGGGCTCGCCATACCCTGTGCTACTTGCAACTCTTGTGTTACGAGTAGCTGAATCTAAAAAAAAAAAAACAGAAATCTTCAAAAGATTGTACCCATTCTGGAGTATCCTCCCCCCCCCTCCTCCACCTACAGAAAAACAAAAGAAAACTAAACAAACAAATCCCATAACAAGCCAAAACAAAAAAAAATATAGGGTGTACTCAAATAGTTTTTTTTTTTTTAATTCCCTGTAAGATGTAATCAGACACAAAACATCTTCTCTGTAGTAACTTTCATAAACACATAAATAGTTCACTCATGGTTAGGATTCACCAAGCATTTATCCCCAACCACTGACGAAACCTGTACATCTTTGCTCCATCATGGCGGCTGAGTTTACGTACATTGAACAGTTTACAAGGTTGGTGACTTCACAACCCGAGGTTATTGTTGTTATAAACAAACCTCGTATAGTATCGGTGCTCGTAAACTGTTTAATATATGTAAACAAAGCCGCCATGATGGAGGAAAGATGTACAGGTTTCGTCAGTGATTGCGTAAAGGTTTTAATAAATCGTGTCCTAAGGCAGGCCTGTACGCTTGTACTGGGTGGGGGGGGGGCGGGGGGAGAATATACGCAAGAATCAGGCTAGGAAGAGCCGGCTGGCCACGTTCTTATATATTTGTGTGATGTCCTTATCAGACGAGACGACCTAGGCCAGTTTTTGTGGCCTATGATGTCTGGCCTGTTGTGTAGTACGTGAGTACTCACCTAGTTGTGCTTGCGGGGGTTGAGCTTTGGCTCTTTGGTCCCGTCTCTCAACTGTCAATCAATTGGTGTACAAATTCTTGAGCCTACTGGGCTCTTATCATATCTACATTTAAAACTGTGTATGGAGTCTGTCTCCATAGCGTTTATCATTGACAACTCTCTCAATTCCTTTCAGTATTTTGTACGTTGTTGTCATGTCTCGCCTGATGTTGACTCGAATATTCTATCTGTTGGAGCTGGATAATTTAAGATCCTATGTAGCTTGTATGGACTGTTCTGTGGGCGTATTTCCATTGGTTTTCGAAGAGGTCTTTTACATTTGAACATTTTATGGACGATAAAAATAGTATTTTGGTTGTGATAGGATAAAGTAGGTCAGGTTAGGTAAGGTCTGGTCAGGTTATATTAGGTAAGGATAGAAGAGGGTAGATTAGGTTAGTACAGGGTAGGGTTGATTAAATTAGGACAGGGTAGGTAAGGCAAGGTTAGGTCAGGTTAGGCTAGGCTTTAGTAAAATGTTCCTGCTAAGTTAAGTTAGATTACGTTAGCCCAAGTTAGGTTAGGTTAGGTTCTACCAATGTGTTCCCGTGAAATCAGGATTGGGTTTTACATGTACTCCCAGATCCTCCTCCTCTCACTATTTCTAGCAGCTATCTAATCTTCAACCTCTAGACCCTAGAGTATCTAGAAAATTTAGAAGCATACCACTCCACTTCCTACAACCTCTTCCTTATTGTTAGCTTCAGTGGCTCAGTTGGTACAAATCACCGACGATCCAAGTGACTGAAACTTGGATTGTACAAGTGATTGTACAAAGCCAGAAATGTCTTTTACTGTCGTCCACGAGGCGACGAGAGGCCAGTCATGGCACAGCGGCAGGTAAACAGAGCCAAAGCATTAACAGGAGCAAGAGTTACAAACAGGATTTAACGCCAGGGGTCCAGACGAAGGTGACTTTCACGGCCTTATGAAGGTCAGACTTTTGTAACTCAAGCTTGGGATACTTGCCCTAAGCTGGCGGCTATATCATCATCATCATCAGCATATGCTTACTCCAGCCTTCCTGTGCTTACTTGTCCCCTCTGCAGGCCTGTCTATGCTGACTGCTGCCTAGCCATGCTGACTGCTGCCTAGCCGTGCTGACTGTTGCCTAGCCGTGCTGACTGTTGCCTAGTCGTGCTGACTGTTGCCTAGCCGTGCTTACTGCTGCCTAGCCGTGCTGACTGTTGCCTAGCCGTGCTGACTGTTGCCTAGCCATGCTTACTGCTGCCTAGCCGTGCTTACTGCTGCCTAGCCGTGCTTATTGCTGCCTAGCCATGCTTACTGTTGCCTAGCCGTGCTTACTGCTGTCTAGCCATGCTTACTGCTGCCTAGCCATGCTGACTGCTGCCTAGCCGTGCTTACTCCAGAGCACAGCAATATAGACACAACATCCATGGTTCATAACAGAAACCTTTATCGTTGTGTTGAGAGAACAATTAAGGTATCCCCTTTGGTGTTGAGAGACTGCGTCGAAGAACTGTTATAGCCAAAACTGTTCTCTAATGAAAACAGAGAGGGAGATTTAGAAGACACCAAACTACAGGTAGAGTCGAGTTAACAACTGCAGTGTGTGAATTGAAAGACAGACACACACGCCACTAGGTGAAGGTTATGTAATGTGTTTCTAACTGTCACCGTAAAGAAACAATGGATATTACTCAAGAAATGTGTTGATAAGTTGAGTTTGGTGTTGAAGTTGTCAATGGCAACTTCACCAAATACCTCACTGAAAACTTGTGTGGACATTTGTAAACCAATATACATACACAAACACACACAAACACACATATATACAAAACACACACACACACACACACACACTAATAGTATACTCACCTAGTTGTGCTTGCGGGGGTTGAGCTCTGGCTCTTTGGTCCCGCCTCTCAACCGTCAATCAACAGGTGTACAGGTTCCTGAGCCTATTCGGCTCTATCATATCTACACTTGAAACTGTGTATGGAGTCATGTGTGTGTGTGTGTGTGTGTGTGTGTGTGTGTCTTTGCTCCCCCCCTCCTATCCCCCCCCCCTGCCATCCCATACTGCACCTGGAGGGGGGGGGGGAAGGGGGACTGAAGGACTCGGGATCCTCTAAGGACGGCCGTCAGGAGGGATACGCCTCGCGACCTTGGTCCTCAATCAGCCAAACACGGAAGCGAAGCGTGCAGGTGGGTGGTGCTTGTTTGTGTGTGTGTGTGTGTGTGTGTGTGTGTGTGTGTGTGTGTGTGTGTGTGTGTGTGTGTGTGTTGGGGGCCACAAGCTGGGTGATTGTGTGCTTGTTTGAGGAGGGGTAGGTGTTTGTGTGTGTGTTTGTTTGGGCAAGCAGGGTGCTTGTGCGTGTTTATTTGAGGAAAATGTGTGTTTGTGTGTGTGTGTGTGTGCTTGTTTGGACATGATGGGAATTTGTGTGCTAGTTTACTTGAAGATCCTGTGTGCTATTGTTTACACCAAAATGTGTGTGTGTGTGTGTGTGTGTGAGAGAGAGAGAGAGAGAGAGAGAGAGAGAGACAGAGTCCTAACCGTGAGGACCCACCAATCATCGTCTAGTTAAAGAACCATTTTGCTCAATTTGCCACTCCGTAAAAAAAAAATACAGCTGTTTGGCCAAACCACGAACGCACAAACCCAAACAACCAACCTATACGTCGTGTTTTGAACGTATTAAAGCTAATACCACTTAACATTCGACGCATTAAGTGAAAGAACAGGTTTAAAAACCCTAACTTCCGAAGGTCGTCCTGGGATTCAAAATTCCCTTTGTTGTGATCCCGGAAAAAAAATACACAAGAAATGGCGGGAAATCTTCCGTGTTCGAATGTTCGCTACACTTCCTACTCTTCCGCTTTATTACTTCCGAACGGCTCAAGGTAATCAGATGAGACTTGTGTAAGTGTGGTAATATGTTGAACTGTTTACGACCAATAATCAGTTTATTAACAGGGTCTACTTAGGCCTACAACTAAGCCTCCGCAGTAAAGAAATCTATATATATAAATATTATATATATATATTTCATTCACCAAGGCAATAGGAGCCTCGAACGCGCGACCTCCAGAATGAGAGTCGAGTGCTCTATCGACTGAGCAACGAGCCACAAGCTAGCTTGTAGCCCAGTCGATACACACAAAGGTTCGAGCCTCCAGAACCTCCCTGTGATTTCAGTAGAAGTCTAGGTTGTTAGGCTTTTTATCCGTCGTGGCTGAGAGGGGGGGGGTTAAGGCGGGTGTCTGGGAATCACCAGAACGCCGGTTCGAGTCTCCTCATTGCTCTAAAATTATTTTTCCATTGATATGTAAACGTGTGTGTGTTTGAGTGTGTGTGTGTGTGTGTGTGTGTGTGTGTGTGTGTGTGTGTGTGTGTGTGTATGTAATTACTTAACTGTAGTTACAGGATGAGAGCTACGCTCGTGGTGTCCCGTCTTCCCAGTACTCATTGTCGTATAACGCTTTGAAATTACTGGAAATGTGTGTGTGTGTGTGTGTGTGTGTGTGTGTCTGTGTGTGTGTGTGTGTGTGTGTGTGTGTGTGTGTGTGTGTG